AGAGATGGGGTTTCACCATGATGGCCAGGCTGGTCTTGAACTCCTGACCTCAGGTGATCCACCCACCTCGGCCTCCCAAAGTGCTAGGATTACAGGCATAAGCCACTGTGCCCGGCCCAAGTTTCTTATATAAGATGGTGTAATATTCATGTATAACCTATGCACAGCCTTCATATACTTTATTATGTTTTTAATTTTTAATTTCTTGAGATGGAGTTTTGCTCTTGTCACCCAGAATGGAGAGCAATGATGCCATCTCGACTCACTGCAACCTCCACCTCCCAGATTCAAGCGATTCTTGTGCCTCAGCCTCCTGAGTAGCTGGGACTTACAGTGCCTGCCACCATGCCCAGCTAGTTTTTGTATTTTTACTAGAGATGGAGTTTCACCATGTTGGATAGCCTGGTCATGAACTCCTGATCTCAGGTGATCCACCCAGCTTAGACTCCCAAAGTGCTGGGATTACAGGTGTGAATGGAGCCACCGCACCTGGCCATACTTTAAACATCTCTAGATTACTTGTAATACCTAATACAAGGTAAATAGTTATTATACTGTATTGGTTTTTAAATTCACATTTATTGATTTTTTTTTACCTGAATAGTTTTCTCCATGGCTGGTTAAATCTACAGATACAGAGCCTGCAGATATGGGGGGTTGACTATATCATAATTTCTTGGTTGCTTTAGGCTCAGTAATCCCTGAATCAACCACCAGAGTAATCACTGATTAGCTTTAATCTGGGCCCACCTCTGAAGATGGAGTCAGTTCCCCAAACCATGTGGCTGCTATAAAACCAGGAAGGAATTAAACAAGTATGGCAAAGCAACCACGGTGTACATCAGATCTATCTCATCCATGGCAAGAGACCCAAAATAAGAAATTCTTGATACGGTTATGCTAAGCATCTGGGAGGCAGGCTTGGTGATACCAAAGGCGCTAAAATCTGCAGGAAATAACTGTAAAAAAACAAACAGTTCTAAGAACTATGATATCATGCGCGCTTACTCAGCATGGACATTTACAATACATTGGCTAGAAATAATTTGGGTATTTTACCTCACTATTTAATTTTTTAAAAAGAAAAGAATAAAAGCAGTTGTGACAACTTCCTTTGACTCTCTGGAAGTGTGTGGGAACACAAACACTGAACACGTCATAAGACTGGGGCAGTGATCTGCCCTTTCCTGGTCTTGAAGAATCAGTGCTTACTGGAAAGACCTATATGGACAGCTCTACAACACTCAAGAGATAGTGAGCTAACCTACCCTGTGTTAGCCTAACAGACTCCATCTTAATGAAAGCCAGACAGACTCCATCTTAACCTCCGCCTCACCCCTCCCGCCATTTCTCCTTTGAGTGCATATCTGGGTCACACAGTGCTGGGTCAAGTTATACTTAGAACCATAGAAACATATAACCATTGTAAACATATCCTGCTTAACAAGCCCCCTTGCTATTGTGAACACCCCTTGATTAATTATATGGAAAGTACCAAATGCCCCCTTGGTAACCAGCAATGATGGGAACCACTTGTGTATACCCTCCTTAGTTAATCAACAATCATAGGAGCCTCCTCCCCTAACCTGCGTATTCTGCTTCTATAAAATTCTGCTTCAGCTAGGCTCCCCCTCCCCTACCTAAATCAAGGTATAAAGGGAAATCAAGCCCCTTCCTTGGGATGGAGAGATTTTGAGTGTGAGCTGACTCTCGGTCGCCGGCAGCAAAGGACTCATGATTCAAACTCAGAGTGTGGCCTCTTCCATCTAACTGACTCGGTTATAACAATAGGAAGCACCATGAGGTCCCGCCCTAATCTGCTCTGTTAAGGTCTTCCAAGCTCTAATTGGCTCCAGAGCAGCTGAGTATTTGTCCAAAAAATTACCGTATCCATGAGTAAACACCTGTACAGTCTTATCACTGCTATTCAATCTCTTTTTTAAAATCAAACCAGCACCATTTCCAGAACTATAGCTCCAAGCCTGTATTTTCATAGACACACCTCAAAATCCACATGTCCAAAATTTAAATAACCTCTCCCCTCTTAAGAATAATAATAATAAAAACCTCTCTAATTCTCTCATTTCAATAGATGGCACTACCATGAGCCACCAAATTCTCCAAACCCAAAGCCTAGAAATTAGTGTCAACTCTTCACTTTGCCTTACTCCCAACCCCATCCCAATCAACCTTTAAACCCCATAAATTCCACCTCCATTACCTCCTGTTTGTGTGTCTGTGCGTGTGTGCGTGTGTGTGTGAGACAGAGCAAGACTCTTATGTGACTCCAAGACGTTTATGTGAACTTCTCTCCTTTACCAGTAAAATATTGTCCCTACTCTTCCCTTCTGCAGACCAGTGGCTTGCATAGCTATACATCTTGGATTATAATTCTTTTTACTTACTCCAAAAGAAACTCAATATCTTTGGAGAAACCCTTCTCTGTTGTCTTTTAGCTTCACAGTGCCAAATAATAAATACTTTGGAGCAAGACTCTATCACACACACACCCTGGAGGTAGTGCAGTGGCATGGTCTTGGCTCACTGCAACCTCCGCCTCCCAGGTTCAAGTGATTCTCCTGCCTCAGACTCCCAAGTAGCTGGAATTACAGACACACACCACCACGCCCAGCTAATTTTGTATTTTTAGTAGAGACAGGATTTCACCATGTTGGCCAGGCTGGTCTCGAACTCCTGACTTCAGGTGATCCACTTGCCTCAGCCTCCCAAAGTTCCTGGGATTACAGGCATGAGCCACCATGCCCAGCCTCCATCATCTCTTGAATCTGTCCATTCCACTGCTATCACTTTAGTTTAAGCTATCAACAAGTCTCCTGTCTGGGCCAGGCGCACTGGCTTATGCCTGTAATCTCAGGAACTTTGAGGGGTCGAGGGAGGTGGATAACCTGAGGTCAGGAGTTTGAGACCAGCCCGGCCAACAGAGTGAAACCCTGACTCTACTAACAATACAAAAATTAGCCTGGCGTGGTGACGCATGCCTGTAGTCCCAGCTACTCAGGAGGCTGAGGAAGAAGAATTGCTTGAAGTCCCTGCCACTCAGGAGGCTGAGGCAGGAGAATCACTTGAGCTCAGGAGGCGGAGGTTGCAGTGAGCAGAGATCACTCCACTGCACTCCAGCCTGGAAGATGGAGCGAGACTCTGTCTCCAAAAAAAAACAAAAAAAGTATTCTATCTGGTCACCCAGCCTCCACCTGTGAACTGTCTGTTTACCATATAACAGCTATTGTTATCTTTCTAAAACACATCTTTCCTATGCATGCCCTGTCTTTGCTTAGAACCCATGAATGACTCTGCCCAAAGTTCTATAGAAAAAGCCTAAACTGTTTAACATTTAGGCCATCAGGTTGCATCTTAGCTTTCTAGATCAGGGGAGAGCCCATGGGCAAATGGCTCAAGGGTCAAATCCAGTCCACTGCCTATATTTGTACAACAACTTAAGGATGGCTTTTACATTTTTCAGTCGCTGAAAAAGATCAAAAGAGGAGTATTTCATGACAGTTGAAAATTACATAAAACTCAAACTTCAGGGTTTAGCATAAGGTTTTATTGGAACACAGCCCCACCCATTCATACTGTCTATGGTTGATTTTAAGGTACAAGTTGAATAGCTGTGACCAAGCAGCATGGCCCACAAAACCTAAAATTTAAGGTATTGTTTGGCACTGTGAAGCTAAAAGACAACAGAGAAGGGTTTCTCCAAAGATATTTAGTTTCTTTTGGAGTAAGTAAAAAGAATTATAATCCAAGATGTATAGCTATGCAAGCCACTGGTCTGCAGAAGGGAAGAGTAGGGGCAAGATTTTACTGGTAAAGGAGAGAAGTTCACATAAACGTCTTGGAAACAAAGTCCATTGGTTCCGGAGGCTCAAATAAAGAACTGCAGTTCGTTCATCGGTGGAGGTGCTGCTGCCGGGCCAAACGTCCTTTTGACAGTAGCTTATCTGAAGTGCTGCAGTTTAGCAACAAACGGTGCCATAGAAATGTGTGCATATTTGCAAAATGAGCTAGTTGTGCAAAACATGAAATGCATGAAAGACGTGAAGAAATTGTGTGTTTTTCGGTTTATGTTTTTAAGTCCTTGAGACAAATTTATTTATTTATTTATTTATTTATTTGAGATGAAGTCTTGCTCTGTCATTGTCGCCCAGGCTGGAGTGCAGTGGCGCCATCTCGGCTCACTGTAACCTCTGCCTCCTGGGTTCAAGCGATTCTCCTGCCTCAGCCTCCTCAGTTTATAGGAGCCTGCCACCACGCCCGGCTATTTTTTTAATTTTTATTTTTAGTAGAGATAGGGTTTCACCATGTTGGCCAGGCAGGTCTGGAACTCTCCTCACCTCGTGATTCGCCCGCCTCGACCTCCCAAAGTGCTGGGATTACAGGCGGCCGGCCTTGTACAGTTCTTATCTCAGACATAGGTATATAATAAGTTTCCCTCCTGCAAGGAGGGTTGCCTCGCCCTGAGGCCAAACACACCCACCTCTGCACTCAAGCACCTGACTCTGCACCCGGCACCTGGCTCCGGCACCTAGCTCTGCGCATGGCTCCCGTGGAAGGCTCAGGCTAATACAACTCTGGCCGGCCCGTATACTAGAAAAACCTGCCCAACAACAAGCCAACCAATAGTGGCCCGCCCCGTCCCAATCCCACTCCCCTGGAGCCAATCAGAGCACCCAGCTGCTGCTCATTACCCACAGCCACAACAACCCCACGCCCGAGGAAGTAAGCGCGACTTCTCGGGCCCCCTTTCCCCGACCATAGAACCTCGCCAGGGAGCTGAATAAATTGGCATTTAATTTTCTTATACTGGCCTCAGTTTCCTCATTTTAAACTCGGCAATAACCCTTACACCTCCTTTATGGTCTCTGGGCTCCAAATTGTCTAGGTCTGGCAATAGTTTCTTCTAGAATCTGCAACTTTCGGAGTATTTCATGGAAAAAGTCGGTAACCCCTACCCTACACTCACTGGATCACTCTCCAGTGTAACCATCCCAAACGATATGCAGACCACCCTTTTCTCTCTGATTTGTACTCCCCCAACCATGGGTGCTTCTATAGAACTAAGCCCATCTAAGCATTTAACAGTTATTCTAATTACCCTTTTACTTGTCTGATGCAAGTGTTCGCCACTCAATCCTCAGCACCCAGCACGATCCCTGGCCCTCATTCAGCGCTTAATAAATGCATGTTGATTGAATGCGCAGCATCCAGCACAGGCGAACAGGAGTGGGTTCCAACTTTCGAGGAGCTTAAAAAAGAAACCCAGCATATAAAAAACAGATTAATCTACAAAGAATAAAACAAAAACACTAAAAAGCAGCAAGTACTCTGCAGCAGAACCAAAGAGAAAATTCCACCTGTGGAAAGGTGTCCTTTCTTTAGGATCCTTCCTAATTTGGATACAGGTTCCCTCCTCCTTCATGACGAAATTCTTAGCGAGGTTACTTTTTGGTACACAGTGTCCTCATCTGTACAACAGACTAAGTAATTCTGAATTAACCGGATTATAATGAATATGGTTAATTTTTTTTAATATGGTTAATTGTTGAACTAAGGCATAGAAAGCAGGTAGCTCAGTGGACGCTTCCTAGAAAGTGCTCAGTAAACTCGGATCCTCTAAAACGCTCCGTTTGATGTTAACTGAGTCCGTATCCGAGCGGGTTTCCAGTGTGCATAGCCAACGGTATGGCCTAGCGTCCACTGCATCCTTTCAGTAAGAGCTGCGACCTCTCGGCGCTCCCTTCGCCACAGGAGCGTTCTCGGCTAGTGGCGTCGCTGCAGGACTTCGTGCTGGGATGAACTCCCGAGAAACTTCCGGCAGCCTAACCCGGGCGGAAGCCAGTGAGGTGAAAGAACTACAACTCCCGCCGGGCTGCACCCGAGCTCAGGGCCTCTGTATATTTTATCACACCCAGCCTCTTCCGCGCAGCTCTCAGTGGCTCCGCCTCAAAGGGGGCCCTCTTCTTTCCTTGTGGAGTCTGAAGCGTGGCCACGCCCCGGTCACCGAAAAAATCCGTGTGACGTCATAAAACCTACGCGTCGCGCGGGGGGCGGGAGTTGGCTGACGGTCCCTGGCTGGCTCTGGAGGTCTTGGGACCGCGGAGGAGGCTACAGATGGTGCAGCGATGCCTCGCCCACGGCGGGTCAGTCAGCTCCTGGATCTGTGAGTCTACCCTGTCCCGCCTCCCTTTGCACCGCCCCGGCACCTCCTCCAAACTGCCAGGCCCTGCGCTGTTCTTCTCTTCCTCCCCGCCCCTTTCCCACCTCCCCTCCCCGACTTCTGAAGAGGCCCCGCGCGTGTTTCTGTGCCTGGGTTCCCGATCTGTCATTTCCTGGCTGAGGACAATTGTGCAAAGTGGGTCGCTGGGCGGGCTTGCCCCTCCTCCCTATGTCCTGCGCGCTGAGCTATGAGTGTCCATTCTTGTCAGCCTTGACAGCTCGGCGCCCTGGTTGTTTCTGGCAGTGGCCTGTCTCAGCAGCTAAAAGCCTTGGTAGAACACAACACAACACTAGATGAGGCTGTCAACAGCTTCCAGCAGAATTCCACCTCTGTAACGGGGATAAACATTGAGAGACCCTGGGATAAGCGTGGGAAAGTGGTTAAGATCACGGATCCCTAGCTGAGATTGCTGGGTTCAGCCCCCAGCTCTGCCATTCACCAGCCACGTGACCGTGGACGGGTAACGTAACCTCTCTGTGCCTAAGTTCTTTATTTATAAAATTAATGTGATAATAGCACCCATCTCATGGAGTTGTCCTGAGGGATAAATTTAACCCATGTAAAACTCTTATAAGGATGCCCAGCAAATAATAAACACCACTACGTGTTATTGTTATTTCCTACCAGAAATTGTACTGGAAATGGAAGTTACAAGGGCAATTTTCAGTCATGTAAAAAATAGACATCTTAAGGGTAAGGAGAACAATCTCCTTAATCTACCGAAGACTTTCTAAAGCAATAGCATCTGATATTTCACATTATATTTCATAAACTCCTGGCCCGCAGTCCACAGCCATTTTTCATAAAACAGGAATCAGTTGGCTGTGATGTAGATGTCTGATATTGTGTAGATTCAGACTTAGGTAGTCCTGAGAAGATCTTGCTTCAGTTCTTGGCATAAATTGTACATCTGATCTAAATGGGATTTTATTTCCATCACTAAAAGAATGGTTGCTGGCCAGGCGTTTTGGCTCCTGCCTCTAATCCTAGCACTTTGGGAGGCTGAGGTGGGCAGATCATCTGAGGTCAGGAATTAGACAACAACTAGGAGTTCGAGGCCAACCTGGCCGACATGGTGAACCCTGTCTCTACTCAAAAATACAAAAATTAGCCAGACGTGGTGGCAATTGCCTGGAATTCCAGCTACTTGGGAGGCTGAAGTGGGAGAATGGCTTGAACCCTGGAGGTCAAGACTGCAGTGTACCTTGCAGATTGCACCACTTCAGCCTGAGTGACAAAGTAAGACCTTGTCTCAAAATAGAGATAAATAATAGAGATAAATAAAAAATAGAGATAAATAAATAAATAACTATAATATGGCCAGGCATGGTGGCTCACTCCTGTAACCCCAGAAACTTGGGAGGCTGAGGCAGGTGAATCACTTGATGTCAGGAGAGTTGGAGACCAGCCTAGTCAATATGGCAAAACCTGGTCTCTACTAAAAATAGAAAATTAGCTGGGTGTGGTGGTGCATGCCTATAATCCCAGCTACTCCGAAGGCTGAAGCAGGAGAATCGCCTAAACCCAGGAGGCAGAGGTTACAGTGAGCCGAGATTGCACCACTGCACTCCAGCCTGGACAACAGAGCGAGACTGTCTCAAAAAAATAAAATAAATAAATAGCTATAATATATGTAGAATAATATCATAAATGGGAGAGTAACAAACTTTGAAATTTCTAATAAGGAAAAGAATAGGAGAAAGCTTTGTAAAGGGGGTTATTTTTGAAGATTGATAGTATCTGACAGTTGCAAATCAGAGGAAATGCATTCAAGAGAGTGTGAAATAAAAAGAGTAAAGTTTTGACAGGCAGGAAAGTTAGAAATATGAGAGAAGACCAAAAAGTAGCACTCCAATGTGAATGGAAGATACAATATGAATAGCATGGTAGTGAGGCATAAAGCCAAATAATTGGGAGTAGAATCTTAGGGACCAGGATGAAGTAAGAGCATTCCCTCTTTTAGTCATGGGGAGCTATCAAAGGTTTTAGCTATCAAAGTGAGATTTGAATTAGGCAGAAGTTGGAAACAGGGAGATACTTCCTAAGTGTTAGAAAATCCTAATGGGTGGAAAGCCTAAACCAGGAGACATGTGAAGATGTTCTTTGCAGAATTGTTTCTGGTGGCAAGGAGCTGGAATAGGCGAGGTACCATGGAATATTATAAAGCTGTTAGAAAAGCAAAGGGTAGGCCAGGCATGGTGGCTCACACCTGTAAACCCAACACTTTGGGAGGCTGAGGAGGCTGGATTGTTTGAGGCCGGGAGTTCGAGACTAGCCTAGGCAACATGGCAAAACCATGCCTTTACCAAAAATAAAACAGCCAGCCTCACAACTTGGTCTCAAAAATAAATAAATGAAAATTAAATAAATTAAAAAATAAAAGAAAGAAAGCAAAGGGTAGATTCACATGGATAGAACTTTAAAACATAGGGCTTAGTGAAAAAAGAACAAACAGACTAACAGTGTTAAGAAAAATTTTTCAGAACTTGCAGGCAAGGCAAAGGGACGACCGCATGATCTTCAGTGTCATGCGAGGGTGGCATGGAGCTGGAATAGAGCTGTGGTCCTGTGTAAAGGTCCATATTTGCCCTTAGAAGCAAATTTTGTACCCTTTTGGGACAAGGTACGGTCTGAGGCTGGCAGTTGGTCAGCAAGCTATTTCTAGTTTGTAACAGAGTAAGAAGCTTGAGCCAGACTAGTAATTAACTGTGTCACTAAGCACAACATTTAATCTAGCTGATGAGGCTTTCTCCATGAAGGAAACAGTGCTTGGTTTATGTTTTTCCATAAACTCCGTATCTCCTCACTGACCAGCACTTTGATTAACACTGCCGTAGAGAATCCTTTGGATCTGGGATATGAATAGTTTTGAATAGAGAGACCAAGGAAAGAGAAGAATTAGAAGTTATTCTTTTAGTTTTTAGCTTTGTTGACAGGTAGAATGATGATTAGACTATGATGGTGGAAGAAATGTCTTACAGGGAAAATGAATCAGAATATCCAGTAGAAATGTCAAGCAGACAGTTAGAATATAATTTTGAATCTGAAAGAGAGATCAAGGATTAGGCCGTACGCAGCGGCTCACGCCTGTAATCCCAGTACTTTGGGAGACCAAGGCAGGCAAATCAGTGGAGGTCGGAGTTTGAGACCAGCCTGGCCAACATGATGAAACCCTGTCTCTACCAAAAATACACAAAAAATTAGCCAGGTGTGGTGGTGCACGCCTGTATTCCCAGCTACTTGGGAGGCTGAGGCAGGAGACTTGCTTGAACCAGGGAGGCAGAGGCTGCAGTGAACCAAGATGGTGGTACCACACTCCAGCCTGGGTGACAGAGTGAGACTCCATCTCTAAATAAATAAATAAATAAAATGAAAGGTCAAGGATTGAAACTAAGATTGAGGGTAAAACTTTGTAGATGATAGGAAGTTGTGGTTTAGTTTAAAGGAGTGGCTATAGAGAGAAAAAAAAAAGTCAAGGACAAAATGTCATGTAACACTTACATTAGAAGCAATCCATGTTGCCAAAACTCTTTTCTTTGTTAGATCAATTCACCATATAATGAATTGGCCAAATACTAATAGGTTGTTTCTTTTAACTATAAAATGTAGAGTAACTAATATTGGATGGGATATCTACCTGTCTCCTCGATTGTTTCACAGCTTTTAAAGATTTTAAGTTTTAGCTGACTTATTTTGAGAAATGAGACTGTCCATGCAAACTGTTGGGCCTGAAAATCAACACCACTTATGTCAACATAATTTTTTGCTCTAGGAAATTTTTGCAAATCAGTTTATCTAAATAAACAGCTATCAGGACAAACATTCTGATTTTTAGGGCAAACATGTTTATCTGGACAGATTGCTCATCAAAGCTTATTTCTTGTATCCATCAGTTTTAAACTACTAAGTCACAAACTTTGCCTAATCCTTACCCATTGTCCACCTTGATGGAGAGAAATACCCACTTAAACTGGTGGAGTTTATATCCCAGAACTTTATGTACACTCTTGCCTAACTTTCCCTTATTGAAACATTACCAAACCCTGTCAAGGTGATCTCCCTTGCCATAGTACATTTAATACATGATTTGATGAATTTAATAACTTTGCTTGACCAGCAGGCTTTCTGGATGGGCTTTGTGGCCACTGAATAATCCTCCCAGAATTTTAAGAGCTATTTGATTTGTTTCTGTCCCAACTCCCTGCTAATTGCAGCTGGAGGGAACTGGAGCAGAAAGAGGAAAGCATTTACTTTGGGAAACACATGGTACAGCCTGTATTGCTGAGCTCACAGAAGAGAATACTAAAGGGCTAAGATCAAAAAGACTGAAAGAAGAGGGTGGTGGTCGGGGGCAGGGAGCCATGTTGTGGGAAAAAGGTAACATATTGAAATATACCTGAAATCCGCATGAAGCAAAATACCGTAGTCTCTCCTTATCTGCCATTTTGTTTTGGCAGTTTCAGGTACCTGCATTCAACTGTGGTTAAAAAAATATATGTTCAATGGAAAATTCTAGAAAGAAACAATTCATACATTTTAAATTGTGCACCATTCTGAGTAGCATGATGAAATCTCATGCCATCCTGCCCTGCCTGCCCAGGACATGAATTCTGCCTTCATTCAGCATGTCCATGCTCTCCGTTAAGTAGCTTTCTCGGTTATCAGAGCTATTGTCGTAGGGCTATTGTGTTCACAAAATCCTGATATTACTTAATAATTGCACCAGAGCACAAGAGTAGTAATGCTGGTGTATTGTTACATATATTTTTTATTTTTCCGCCCAATCCCTGTAGATATTGTTATAACTGTTCTATTTTATTATTGTTGTTGTTCATCTCTTACTGTGCCTAATTTATAAATTAAACTTTACTATAGGTATGTATACATAGTAAATGCAGGGTATATATGGGATTTAGGATTCAGCACTATCCATGATTTCAGGC